CCGCAGTTAGGGCCAAGTACTCAAAAGCATTCAGGGCTTTTGAGCTCATGCTCAAAGCCCTTCGAAGTCTGAATGTGCCTGAAAGTATGTCTTGGTACTTGGGGGTGGACGTATATGTGCCTGAAGGATTATGGTACTGCTCATATTAGATTTCTCTATGTGTTAATTAAAAAAAGGTAACAGAAAATTAAAAAGAGGTAAAGACAAGTTTGTGGAGCTGAGTTACCAAGAGATTAAAGCAAGACTAGCCCAATTAAATGGCTCCCCTATTTAAATTGGTTTCCAAGAGATTGTATAGAAATGTAAACCATTGGTGACTTAAGACCTATATACCTTATTCCTTTGATGTGCATTTTGCAGCTAAACTCACCTGAAAGTTGAAATCAGGGCATTTGCTATTTAACTCCTCTGTCTGCATAACAATATGAAAATAATAGGAAACAGCAGGACGAATCTGGATTTAAAGGATGTAATCTGGAGAAAGGCCTTATTTTAGCAGAAACGCAGACAGAACAGAAAATTTTCAGACAAGCATCTTGTGCTACTTTGGTCATGCAGCACTTCTGTATGCACTATCCTACTCTTCTAAAATACCCCTCACCACAACACTTTAAGGTCATCTGCAGGGTGTGATGAAGAAATACGGTGCATCACTATTTTAAAGAGGGACATTCTTGCCAAATGAGCTGGGAAGAACAAATCCCACAACAAACCCTCCATCATCTCTTTTCTTTATGACAAGCAGTCTCATTAGGAAGAACGGCCCATCGTCTGGAGCTCCTCACTCTGTTCATACCTGTGCCCCATTCTAGAAGAGCACTGCCTGACTATCCTCTGTGTTGCTGATGTCTCATATGGAAAGCTGTATTTATTGATCACTACAGATTTTCAAACACACAAGGCACAAAGGAATATTCACCGGATATAGTCTGCAACAAAGATGTTGCAGAGAAATCGAGCAACTGCAGGCATAAACATTTTCAGGATACCCAACAAGTCCTGTTTTCATGAGATAAATTTGCCCACTCATTAATCCCAAAAGTCATTAAACATTTTGAAGATTTAACGGGTATGGTACAGGAAAGTATCTGAACATCACATGAACAGCTGCAGCCAGTTTTCCACCCTCATTTCCAGGGCATTACTGAAACCTGACATCTCTCTATGTCATGGAGCACTCACCATGATGAATGATTCCGTTTTCCAGTAGTGCCTGTCCCAGGTTGACCCCTTCCTCCGGTTTGCTTATCTCTCCAATCTCTGTGAGCCATGATACAAACTCACTGCAAAGGGAAGCAGAACAGAAACAATTAGCTTTTTCGCTCAGAGTGTAAGCAGACACATGCCTCTGCAAGTCGTCAGCCAACCACAGCAGACTCTCCTTGAAGCAAGTGTGAAAACTGTTTTAAGTGACGATACCTCTACTAGGTGGCTCGATTTCCTACATTTCTGATGGAAATGCTCTGCAGAAGATCCAATCTCCTATCCGTGACTTTTCCCACCATTCCCCTTAGCTCATTGTGATTAGCATGCACACTAAAAAGGAAAGGAGACCTGGATGGATCTATAAAGATGATGCAAATCCTTATTTTACTCAGCAATCCAAGGGGAAAAAGGAAAGCAAGATTAACTGATGAGCTTAAAACCAACAAATTAGTTGGACAGTAGAGGAAACAGCTGCTTCTATCCAAGCTATCCCTCCAAGCAGTGTCTGTGGTCTGACTTAGTTACACGTGCTCACATTTCTTCACTGGGTCTGACCTCTCCGCGCCCACCCCCCCCCTCCGCCAGTGGTGTTACTGCATTGGCTTTAATGGAGTCACAGTAGGACTTAGGACAGAAGATTCAGCCTACTGAATTCAAGCACAGAGCAGTAAGAGAGAGCACAAGTCCCACTGACAGGTTAATGTAAGGTCATTTACTGGAGTTGGTGCCTGGCAGATACATAAATGGTGCTTCTCATTTACAGACAAAAGGTGCTAAGCCTGTCTGCTCTTGCAGCACAAAACACAACCTCTCTCTGGTGAGGGGCAGAGCTGCACATATGGGCAGAATAAAAGCCAAAAATGGATAGATATGTAGGATGTTACTCAATTAGAAACAGTAAATACAGAAAAACGGACATTGCAAGCCTGATGAATACAGCACTGCCAAAGCCCTAGGGGACTGAGTTGTTTGCCAGGTTAATTAGCAATTATACTAGAAATGTGTTAAGTTCATAGAAAAGAACAAAAGGAATATATGAAAGTAGAGAGACATATGGGAAATCTGAGTTCAATAAACCACTTGGGTGCTTGCCAATGTGCAGAGGGTTGCTGCTTATCAAAACCAGTATCCATGCCTCCACTTGTGGGCTCTAAATGAAGTATTTTTAGTCTCCTCATATTTATCAGAGCTGACTCATCTAAGCTGTAGGTAGTATTTGCATTTTGCCTTTAGAATAACAACAACTTCAATACTGAAAACTTTGGTTTGCTGAGGGGCTACTCTCTAACTGTCATAGTGTAGAAAAAGCAGCAGAATCTATTCAACTATGCCAGGGGAATCCCATGGAAACCAGCAGAGTTTTGTAAAACTCCTAAAGCCAGAGTACTGTAGTGATGAGTCACTCTCTGTCTCCTTAGGAAAGCTTATTCGCAACCTCCCAGTGATTCTGAACTGTTTCTAGAAGTATTTAAAACCTGAAACAGAATATAAACTGCAGAGAGAGGAGAAGTAAGAACGATCGTCCACACTCATTACTGAGAATACAAGACACACGCTCTGTGGACTGCCCCATCACAGACATGCTGGCCGATGACTGCAATCACGTTAAGTACCCAGGGTAGATGCCCAGTTGCTATACATTTTTCCATCAAGTCCAATGGGTCTATGGCAGTTTACAGCACTTAATCAGTTGCCCAAAACTTTAGTGGAACACTGTTACCATGTTAACTTTCCTGCTTCTTTTATTTGGAACCGTGTCCCTGGAATTCATATGGATTGTAAATGTAAGGCAGTCATCTAAAAGTTTGAAATTGCAAGCTGAAAAAGGAAAATAACTGAACGCTACTCTCACAGCCCTGAAGCTTCAGAATGATGGGATGGTTTTCTTAGGAGCTGCTTTAAGACTTCTGTGGCATTTGTTTCATAAGCAAAATCAGTAATAATTTGCTCTGAAGGCCTTATAAGCACTGAAAAGTGCATGATCCAGAAATATTCCAAGCAGTTTTTTAGGCACATGCTGGACTGTTGCTAAAAAAGCATCAACTCAAAAAGTGGATGGCAAAGCACGGTTTGTTTCCTCTTCTTGTCCCAAGCAGTTGTCCAGTAAAACTGAGAGTACCCTCACTTCCCAGTGCTGCCATGCTCAGTTCTCATCTGGCATGCAAGTCAGGACACCATCTCCCAACTATACGTCTGAAATTAAGGGACTTGGAACAGCTGGCTTTCTACTCAAAAAATACACAGGAAAATCCATCCAGGTTTGTGCAATCTGATCAGATATGTTTGGAATTTCCTGAGCTTAACAGATCTTCTCTATTACAAGCTCAATACAGTTCAAGGTTTTGCAATCAATTTAGTGCAGTGCTGAAAAGAAGCATGGCAAGCATATAATTTACATATATTGGCACCGACACACATCTTTCCCACTGTATCACTAGTCACATGCCAGTACACCTGAGGATTGGTTAGGAAAATGGATGTGCACTCAAGCAGGTCAGTTGCTGAAGTTCAATAAACAGCCTGATAAATAAATGCTTGTGATATTTCTGAAGATATTAGGATTAGTTCATGGGATTTTTTTCTGCAAATACATTTCATCTCTTGAATTATTAGATGCTATCTGATATCTGAAGGCCAAGGGAAAAATTCTTTTTTGCAGCCTTAGCGTTACTCTCAGCTGCATGTAGCAGAAAACCACTAAGTACATCTCAGCACAGTTATTAGTGACTCCCTTAGGCAGGAATATCTGAAAAAACAAATAGGTCACAGCCAATATGCATTGTTCAGGGGAAGCCCCAGGAATGATCTGAAAAGTCTGCAAGTCATGACTGGATTGTGCTGATTGAGTTGCACTCAACTGAGTTGCCTAGGATTGTACCCAACAAGTGACTGTTGAAAAGATATCAGCAGAGTTCTTTTCTGTGGGGAAGGCTGAAACATTAGCAGAAATAATGCTTTTGTCAGAGATCAGGATACCTGTAGGTATCTCAGTGTGGGCTCAGTTACCCATTGGCAGAGTTAGGTCAAGTCCTCACTACCGGAGTGTCAGGGTGGCTGTCAAGCAAACTGAAGGCAATGAGCAGGACAGACTGCAGAGCATGTAAGAAAACAGACATTTTAAAAGAAAAAGGAGTAATAGGAAATCCCAGGTAAGACTTGAGACTAAGAAAAACATCAGGGAATCCACAACAGACTCATACATATCTTGCACTGGAAGAACGTAACTTTCTGATCTGGTACTTCTTGTTGCATGGAAAATAGGAAGTGCTATACCATGCCTCCAAAATCAGAGCTTAAAGGTTTCAACTTGAATCCAGCAAGATCAATTGAGGGGGAGGAGGTAAGAAGAAAAAAATGCAACCAAATCTCCAAAACCCAAGAATTTTTTTTATAGCTGAAATATTGGCAGCCTATGCTACCTCATTGCTTTCTGTCAGGCAGAAAGATAACACATCATTTCCACACCCTGTATACAAGGAATGCTGCCTGCAAACTGCCGTTGCAGAAACCAGGGGGAAGAAAGGGAAATGAATGGATAATCTGCCTCTCGGAACTTTTTTTCCCTCCCACAGCTGATCATTTCAATCACAAACAGCTGAGGCAGACAAGTCTTCTCAGGTCAACTTATGTGTCTCCCTGTGTGCCATGCAGAACATTTCCCTGCAACAGCCCCACTGCTACCATATCTAATCTCTAATTTGATTCTGCCATGGGGTCTCTCTTCTACTGCCTTATACATGTCATTCTTAAGAATTATTTTGTAATATCTAGCCTGAGTGAAAAAGGTTTTTTCCAGCAATAAAGCCCTATACTTCTAACATATGCATCAGGTCTCCTGATGCACAAAATTTCATTTGTGTCTGTTACACTGACAAACAGGAAGCTTCTAAATTCAATCCCGAGACTCGGACAGTTGTGCTGGATTTAAACATCACCTGGTAAGCATTTGCTTGTATACAAAAGAGGATACAGGTTAAGCCACCAACAGCCCTGAGCTTGTGGGAGTTAAGGTATTTTTTCTTAATCCTTTTGCCGATTTGAAACAGCTGTTATGAGTTACCGTACAATAGAATAAGCTGTCACTATACAGCCTGCGTATGGCATGAAATACAAATCAATGATTAATTTTAATAAATCACAGCCGTAATGGGGGTTATGGGCCTTTCAATTAAGCTGCATCAAAGCACATCTGATCTGACCTCACAATGCCATCCCCAGAAAATCCAGAGTCCGTTCTTTTAATTGGTATGAAAGGGCCTTTTCAGTTCAAATGCCACTTACTTGCCAAGAAAGCACTTGGGAACAGTACTTAATTTTCTCCTCCTGTCTTTGATAAGGTTCACTTTCTTGCTCATCATCATTTGGTACAGCTTCTCTCCTTTCTCTGCAATCATGACGTATGCATCCCTCTCCATTCCCAGTTTCAAGCCTGGAATACAAAGCAGAAATTCCTTCAGATCCTTAACATGAGATAAAGTGTTTGCTCAAAGTCAAAAGCTGAGGCCAAACAGACAAAGTGGTAGAAACACAAAAATTAACTGACTTATTTTCCAAATAAGGGGGAAAGTGGGTCATTTACTTATCTGAGTACAAATCTGTCATCGGTTGAGTTTAGCACCAATGAGACGCTTGCAGCTTTTCTTCTCCCATTTTAACAAGTAGCTTTAAACTTACTGTTACATCACATCACACAAAGTAGGATGGTTTACGGAATATGGAGAAGTTCCAAACAAAGGAAGATAAAACATATACCTTCTGAAACTGATTTCCTGTTGCAATTTCACTTCTGACCCCGAAATAACTGCCAGCACCAGACTTGTTCAAGGCAGCTAAATGCTTGACAGAGCAGATATTTTGAGTGTTCTATTACTTGTAGCCAAAAATACAAAACTGCTGAAATCAAATTCACATCCCTAAATAAATTAAAACTAGACAGGAACATTATTTTCTCATCCTTTCTTAATTAGCCTATTTACTAATATCCCCAGGCTAAAAATACAGTTTGACAATCATATTATCCCATCAATGAAGGAAATACTGAATGATTTAAGGAATGCTAGATAATGGGATATAGAGAAAATTTCATGTCCACTTTGTATGAGTTTCCACATAGCTCATGTTAACTTGAAAATTGCTACAGTCAGGAGGATGATCTCTGAAAACAATAGGAGTCTATGTTACAACTATCATCATAACTGGCATTTTCTGGCACTCTTCCCTTTACATTTGCAAATTGCTTTAGGAGGACAGCGCATGAGAAAAGCTGTTTTGCTGCTGTAGATGTTTTGTCTCCTCTAGCCTGAACAAATTATTTTGTTTTCTCTCTATGTTATTCTAGAACTTGCAAATCTGGGCAACTGTGGAGTCCAAAACAGAGGCACAGATTTTAGACATCTCTAAGAATTAGCTTGAAAACTGACAGCCTGAATTGGTCCTGTACTTACGTGCCTAATTTTTACAGAGATTGACATTAGGCAGAATTTAAATGATCACTGTAAGGCTAGAAAATGAAAA